GCAACCAAACTGAGCGCATCCTGAGCCTAAACAAATGCTTCAGACTTTGTCCAGTGAATACTTTAGCAGATTAGAAGGCAATTTGGAGCGTCTTGAGGCAGCCATTATGGCATATATCTTGTTCGAAAAAGCCAAGAGTAAAGGGGCAGTCGAATTAGAGCGAGTAAAAACTGTTACGACTTTCGAGTGAAATAAGCATGCGCGAAGTGTGTGTGCAGGACATTAGCCCCTTATACGAACTTCTCTAACTTGAAGTTCTGCATGGTGATAACATAGATCACGCACATCACTGGAGGTCGCACCAGGTATATGAGAAAGAAAAGCGAAGTACTAAAACTTCAAAACGAGCGATTGATCTGTATTCCTCAAAAGATTAAAAAAAATAAGCAGATGCTCGAGACCAGATAGAGGCTTTGCCAGCGAAATGAGGGAGCATTTTCAAAGAGAAAATTCTAAGGAAAGTTGGTCTCTGACTTCAATAAAATGACACAGACTTGAGCAACGATGTGCCGAATTTGTTTCATTCGTCCGAGTTTCCCAGAACAGACGGAAGCCAATCTGGCGACGAGCCAAGATTTCGCAGTCACTTTCCGTTCAGGACCAGTTGGCAAAAAATCGCTCCTGAAATTCTGGTATCGACTCCTTTACCGTAGTGTTATGATCGTTTTGATCTGTTCTGTCATGGTTTACGTTAAAGAAATCACTAGCCAAGTATCATCTTTTGGAAATTTATGCCTTCCGGTGCGGTTTGGTGCGGATTTCGAGCGTTGATTGGAAGTTTTAGGCCTGTTTGTCGGAATTTTTTGTGCGCCGGTTTCGTGTATTGATTGGAATGATAAATTGGCTGAAGAGCGGTGGTGTTGCATATATAGTGTGTATGTTTCAGTTTCTCAAACTTATATTATGTCAAGCGCTATATCCAGAGAACGGGGTAAAGGGAAGCCGTACACTCAAGGTGAGTTTTCGAAATCGGCTTATTTTGATATTTCTTTGAATTTCTTGGATTTTCTTCTGTAGATGCTTTGAATGTTGGCGCTTCGCACCATGCCGGTGCTGCTTCAATGCCGATGGGCGCACCTCAGCCCTCTTTTGCTACCCCAACTATTCAGAATATCCCTGCGCCAGAACAAGGGTACGATTTAACATCAAGTCCCACGTTAGTCGCAGTTTTTTGAAATTTTTTCCATCGTTTTTGAAATCACTTTTTACTGTCGTATGTCTTGAATTCTAGAATGTGTTTACCGGTGGGCACAACGATACATCCAATGGGATACGGTATGTCGATTCTGCACGGCGGCCATTACGTGGCGAGGGGCAATGGTCAGATTAACAAACCCCCCAATTCCCCATACCTAGCACTAGAATTCACACATCAAAAACTCACTTTTCACATTTTTTTTGTCTAGATCAAGATTTAGATCAAATTTTGATAGGCGTTGTGTTTCGATCGATCGATAGCATTAACTGTAGCGTAGACGAGAGTCGACGTTAGCTAGAAGAAAGACCCGCCTGAAATGAGTGTTTGCGATCTCACATACGCCATACCACATACCCCTTATACATTTTATTGTCTCGATGTTTATCTTTCCTTTCTTAGCTCCTCCAATGCGTGCTCCACCTCAACAGTACTATCCACCACAACAGATGTTCGTACAACAACAGCAACAGTTGTAAGTATCTGCTTTCAATTTATCAGTACTTCATCTGAAATGCATAGCATTCTTTTTTCATACATTTTTCTACACTCAACTTTACATACTTATGCAGTATCCAACATGGTTTCGCTTTTCTTCTGAATCCTTATCTGTTCTTCATTTTCCCAGAAAGTAATCCGAGAATTTAGTTGGCGAAGAGTGGGTGCCTTGTTTGCGCTATAGTTTTGGGATTCACAAAATTATCAAAATTGCCAGCAAGGGAGATGAAGCAAGCAAATGCAAACTTTTCCTTTTAAAATCGGTACGTAGTTACATAGCGCAAAACATTTACTGATTGCCATCGATCACTCGATCGATATCTAATAGTCGTTGAAGATGCTTTTTTTTGTGGAACA